CACAATTGAGACCTTCAATAGGCATCTGTGGAATGAGTGAATTAAACGTGTAACTTGTCCAAGGTCCCCCGCTGGTGAGTGGCAGAGCACAGTCACAACTCAGGCCGTTAGGCCCCAGGACCTTTCTTCTCAGGTGTCTCTGGGTGGACTCAAACCTCCGACCTTTCGGTTGACAGCCAAGGACATCAGCTGTTTGCACCACCCAGGGACTCCTTCACAAACAGAGGATGAGTCAATCTTTGCAAAGGCCCTGTAAGGTGGTAGGTGTTATTATCTGCAGAGACAGAGGGAAAGTGGGACTCCTTGCGTGTACAGAGCATAGCACCAGGCCCTTTGATGTATTTTCTCACTTACTCCTGACCATTACCCTACAGCTGTCAGTATCCCCTTTTATTGGTAACCAAAAGGTTGGCAGTGGGAAACTACTCAGCAGCACCGCAGAAGAAAAGGCCTGTCACTCTGCATCCATGAAGATTACAGTCAAGAAAACCCCATGGAGCAGTCCTACTGTGTCACACGTGGGGTCACATGAGTCAGCACTGACTCAACGGCACAAAGCAACACAGATAGGGAAAGGGGCCTCAGAGCAGGTAGAGGGACTCCACTGGGGCCCTAACACCAGTCGTTCAAAGCCAGGGCTCCACTCTCAAACCCCAGCTCGAGCCCAGGGCACCTGCTGCTGGACCAAAGCCTGAGACCCAGAGACGATGCTCTATCAGGTGTAGTTTCCCTTCACAGCGCAGGTCTCTGCAGCAGGAGACCACTGTGCCCTGTTCAGAGTGTCCAAACCAGATGGGCCCCCATGGCAGAGCCCACAGACCTATCTGGCCCCTGACCCCACTTAGCACAACCATCATCTAATCGTCGTCTGAATTGCCAAGGAGGCTCCCTGGACAATCAACCTCAGGGTACGCTGGGCAGTCTTCCTTGAGCATCCCTCACCCTCACCCTAAGTGCACAGGCCCCTGAGACTCAGCAAGGTGCTGAGCTGGGAGAAGGCACGGGGCTCCCAGGCCTCTCAGAATGCCCCAGCGAGGGCAGGGTGGACAAAGTGGTGAGCAGGCAAACAGGGTGTATCAGGGAGGCCAAAGGAGCAAGCCCCATGACCTGCAGCAGCCCAGTGGGCTGGGCCTGGAGTAAACAGAAGCCAGCGCCTTTCCAGAAGCCCTCACTGCTCTCTCTGTTCTTCAGTGACCTGCCAGAGGGCCCAGGGGATGTCTCTACCCTCTCCATACCCACAAGAGGAGCCTAGAGCACAGTGCCCAGGGTGGAGGGGAGAAGCAGGTTCCACACTTTCACACTCTCCTGTCACATTCTCCTGGACACCTTGGTTCCAGGAGACTTTTTTTTTTAATTGCTGTTGCACATATACACAGCAAAACATACACTAAGTCAACAATTTCGACATGCACAATTCAGTGACATTGACTTCATTCTTCAAGTTGTGCAACCATTCTCACTCTCCCTTTCTGAATTGTTCCCCTCCTTTAACATAAACTCACAGACTCCTAAGCTGTCTACCCAACCTTTCAAGTTGGTGTTGTCAATCTGATCCCCATCTTGAGCCAAAGTGGGAAAAATACAGAACAGAATTTCCAATTCTCATGGAATCCAGACTTTCTGAAGCCAACGATGCTGGATGAACCCCAAAAACTATTGCCATGAGATAATCTTCAAACTTTAAACTAAAAATAGCCCCCGAAGTCTCCTTAATCTAAAAGATTTTTTAAATAAATAAATAAATAAAAATCCAACAGAAAGTTACACGTCCTTGAGTGCAATCAGAAAAAAACAGAAGCCACAGCTGGGTATCTCCGAGCCTGGGCCCTGCAGAGAGAAGCAGCTTCCCAGGCTTCCACGCCATCCCTGTTCTGTATTTTAATTGCCATTAGAGTGACTTATTTAGCATCCTTTCCCCACCTGGCCCACCAGCCCCGCAGCCCCTCTGGCTGAACCAGCGTCCTCGGCTGCTCTGGGGCACGCCCAGCCTCTTCCCAGAAGTCTCCACAGCAAACCAATGACAGCTCCTGCCCACCTGGGGAGACAGAGCCTGGGCCCTGAGTTATGGAATATGTGATCATAAAGTTGCCAGGCCTCGCAGGCCGCCATAAAAACTGCCCAGAGGACAAAAGCCAAATGCACAGCTGCAGTCTATAAAAATTTCACAGCCTTCAGGAGGCTGCTGTTTCAGGCTCTGATACCACACAGCACCCGTATTGATTAGAGAGAGCATTTGCCACAGTTATTTTAAGTTCTCCGGCGCACTCACCAATGCCTCTTTCAGGATGTTCTTCTCCTCTTCAAGTGGCTTGCTCTCAACCTGCCTGCCTGCCTCCACTTCCTACACCCCAGTCCGAGAAGCTTTATACACGTAGCAAATACCAGACATCCTCTCACCTCATCTGCAAGGTAACTCGTTTCTGGATTCCAACCCCAAAGTCCCCAGAAGAAAAATTCCAAATAGAGGCAGCCCTCCCTGAGCCCTCCCAATCTCTCTTTCCAGCCCACTGGACACAAGATGTTTCAGCCCCAAGGAAACACTGGCACTGGCCCATCGAGCCAGCTACACTCACATCTGCAGGCTTTTCACTGCTGCCATTCCCTCTGCCAGAACCACCTATCCTCTGTGCTTGGCAAAATCCAACTCGACCACCAGCACCCTGGCAAAACCGCCCACCCTCTGAGAAGCATCTTTATTCCAGAAAAGGGCTTCCCACCCAATGCTTTCATTCCCCATGCTGCTGATCTGGCCCTTTCTAAGCGCTTACAGCTAGATGTCCCCTGTCTGGTCGCCTAGACTCTATGCCTCTGGAGGGCAGAGACAAGCTCACTCCCTGCTGGAGCCTCAGTACCCAGGGCAGTTCCTGGCCTCGAATACATTTACTGCATTAAAGAATGAGATGCCTTACCTGATCCTTTCAGACAATGGCGCTCACTTAGAGAGCATCCTGATGTACGAGGCACTTCATACATTAGTGTCAGTCCTCACAAGAACCAGGGACATTATGCATCAGTAACCCCATTTTTCTGATGGAAAACAGCAAGGGTCAGAGAAGTTAAGTAACTTACCCAAGGTCACACAGCTAATTAGCAACAAAGCTGGGGCTCCAACCCAGGCAGCGTGACTTCCAGAGTCCCAACTCTTTCCTCTGAACTAGGAAATTTCACTTCCATCTCAGTCTAATCATAAAAGCCCTTAAGAGTTCAGGAAAGTCAAAACAGACACTGTCCTACAAACTGAAGGTGGTGAGAGAACAAGGACTAAAGAGATGACGTCAAGATTCAAGACAAAAAGCAAGGGAGAGGGGCTAGTGTGTCCCAGATGCCAGCTGCCACCCAAGGTAATAGCTGCAGGATAAATGCCCCAGTGGACAGGCAAGAACCAGGCGTGGAGGGTTACTCTACACCCTCAGTAGTCCTCAGGCCCGGCTCGTATCCCCAGTTCCTCTCCAGATCCACACAGGCTAAAGCATAGGCTATGCTGGGGAGTCTCAGTCCAGCCTTTCCCTCCTCCACCATTTCCCCCTCACCCCACACACATGTGCTTTCTCTCTCTCTCTCTCTCTCTCTCTCTCTCTCTCTCACACACACACACACACACACACACACACACATACACATCAATGCCCAACCAGGCATAGAAGATTGCAAATTCTCCAAAACCTCCAAGGGAATTTTCAGACTTAGCCAAGAAGAGTCCAGGGCAAATGTGCCTCACTAATTGCTGACCTGGGTACAGAGTTTGATCCAGGAGACAGCTCTTCCCAGGCTCAGATTTCTGCCTCTGACCAGCTGGGAGCCATGAAAATGTGCTCAAAAGTTATCAAAATACGTCTGCCTTTCCTGCAAGCCACTGCGTTGCCCAGGAGTGTGGGAAGAAGGAGTAGGCAGGTTTCAAAGGAGCCAGCAGTCTTCTCCAAAGTCCAGTTAAAACATCTTCTGGTGCAGTAACCAACCTCTGCAAGTAGCACAAAGGCCCTACATGTGAAGAGACATCCACACACTCAGCCCACGTACGGGGCTCTCAGCCTCGGACACTGAGAAGTCACCACAGATCGTGTGGATTCACAGCAACACACATTCCGCAGAAGAATCTCCAGAAACAAATTATACAGGTCTGTAACCACACACAGGCTAACCAGACACACACATGCTGTAAAGCTCAGCGGGTTTGGAAAGAGTTGAGTTTCCTCAAGAATTCAGAAGTGGGAGACAACAAGGGGAAGAGCAATGTTTTTAGGACTTGTCATGGTCAACTTCTTTACCCTCGAGTCTCCCACTCCAAGCTCCTAACCTCTTGGCTTTATTCACGGGGCTCCCATCCAGGACACACCTATCCCTCCCTAGGTGCTGAATGGAACAAATCTCAAGCCCCAGACCCAAAGCCCTTAGGTCCCATTGTCTGTCTGGGTTGGAAATGGCCAGATATGAGAGAGGTGGCCAGGTGGAGGGCCAATGCCTGACACCTGCAAGGGAAGAATACTTAAGCCTCTGGGGCAAACAATAGGGAGGAGCAAGACGCTAAAAGATTCAACCCAATCCCATCAAGTCGCCTGCAAGCCCTCAGAGCCCAAATCCACACACCCCACACCCAGATCACATTCCAAGGCCCCTGTGTGTAAAAGGAGATCTTGTGCCTGGTGAGTGTGGGAAGCTCCCCTCTTCGGTGCCAGAGGGGCTTTCTGACACTAATTCGCAGGCACCCTGTGGAAATAAAGTGCTGGCGCAGTGGGAAGGGCCTGCCGGTGCTGAACGCTGAACGCGGTGCAGGTGTGAGGATGGGAAGCTGACAACCCCTGCGAGGGCCATTTGAATCCCAGCAAAAAGGGAACAACTGCGCCCCTGCTTCTGGGGGAAAGACCTCCGCAGGCACTGGCCCGTCCAGTAGCTAACGAGCAGGGGCCCCAATGGTCCTGCTCCCACCCCCAGCCCTGAATTGCGTCTGCGTGGGAGGGTTACCTCCGAGCTCCCTGCGCACCCGCGGGTGTGGGCGTACTCACAGGCGCTCCGTGCTCCGTGGGATGCTCTTGGGGATGGCCTGTAGCCCCGTGCCGTGGCAGTCCACCGTGGTGCCAGTGCAGGTGCAGAGGGCGGGGCACGCCGTGGCATCCAGGCGCCACGCAGCTGCCCACAGCAGCAGCCAGAGCTCTGGCCGGACGAGCCCCGCTGAGGGCCCCCTCCGGGCCATCAGCACCATGGTGCCCTCGCCGCGTCCCGCTTGCTTGCCAGACGGCGGCAGCCGCTTACCATCCCCGTCCGGGGCCGCCTCAGGTGCACTGCCGGGGCAAAGCCACCGAGGAGACCACAGGCTTGTGCACTGCGCCCTTGCGGGCTGGGAGGCACCTTGCTCCTCCAAGAGACGGCGCCTGTGCGCGTACGCAGGGAGGGCGCCTCGGGCGGAGGGCGCTCGGCTCCTCTCCTGTTTCTCGCTGGTTCTGTCTCCCTCTCTCCCTCCCTCCAGCTCCCAACTGACTGCTGAGAGGAGGAAAATGAGCAGGCCCCGCGCGCGCACGCACCCCGCGCGCACACACACACACTCACACACACACACACACTCTCACACCCGCACGCTCACCCCCACCCGGCAGTCATCCATCAATTGAAAAGCACACATCCAGGGCCAGACTCCTCCCTCCTCCCTGGCGCCCCCGACCCCCGCCTCCCGACGACCACTCGGCTGCGAGCCGCGTACAATTTCAAAGGTGGAACCTCAGAGGCTCAGCGAGCGGGCTGTGGCTGCGGGGGGAGGGAAGTGGAGCCCCAAGGCGACCTGTCCAGTGCAGACCCTCGGCGGCCACATACACAAACACAGAGGGAGAGAGAGAGACCGAGGACGCGCACACTTAGACACACGCACCTCGGCACCGGCGGCCCCAGCTGCTGGTCCAAAGGGGAGATAGGATCTTATTTTGTTGCCTGGACCCCTCCCCAGGGCCACAGCCAAGCTTCCCCCAAAGGCGAAAGCTGCCTCCAGGGCCCACCAGACCTGCTTTGTCAGTTCTTGCTGAAAGTAATCCCCTCGCTCCAGGTGGCATCTTCAAGCCACCTACCTTAGCCTCAGACCTTAGAGTAGAGCTTTGGGGGAGGGGGGACACAAAGCACTAGGCCAAGGACAGCCTTCAGTCTCCTCCTCTCCCTCAGCACATTCTCGGCAAAAGATGGCAGCAACCCCACTTCACAGAGGGGAACCCTGAGGCCAGCTCCCTCAGGTTGAAATGACCCTGATTTGTGTATTTGCTTACTTGGGAGATATCATTTCTGCCCATGCAGGCTACACTGGCTTCCCTGCAGGGCCATCAGTGGGGGTTGGAAATCCAACAAACATCCCATCTCTGACAAGTGAAAACAAATCAAAACTAATATTCAGGGTAACCTGGAAAGTGGAAATATCATCAAAGGACGGCAGAGAGGGAGCTGGGACTGGGGCTCCCAGAAAAGCACCCTGACCTAGATCGGCCCTTTAGCTCTCTCTTGAGCGGGGACCTCTTTTTTCACTGTGAGAAAGGTGTGCCCATGGTGGTGGATTTGGTGTGGATGAGAAATGCATGTGGGGAGATAATTATCCTCAACCCTAGAAAAGATGAAGGACCTCCCCCAGACTGAGGAGAGCTGCGGCCTGCTGGTGCTGGGTGGAACCCGGGCATCTTCTGCGTGCTGGGCCAGCCCCTGGTGTATGGCTGCCTACAAATGGCCAGGAGGAGAGATGAGCATCTCAAGAAGCACCTGCCTCAGAGCTAGCTACCTGAGGGGCACGGTTCTGCTCTGACACACAGGAGGTCACCATGCATGAGTCAAGGCTGACTCACTGGCAACTGGTTAACTGGTTCCCAGAACTCAGGCCAGAGCTCTGCAGCCTGCAAAGGGGTCTCTTCTCTCTTCCTCATGAATTCCTCCTCCTCTTCCACTGGGGCTTAACCAGGCCTCCCCTCAGTGGCCCTCCCCAGATGCCTGGGGGCCAGGCCAAGTTAAAGCCTCAAACCTAGAAGAGCTGAGCCTCTCTGCGCCTGCTGCTTTGTTTATCCCCTCTTAGCACGTTAAGGCTGGGGCTCTGTTTACTTCTTCTGCTCCTCTGAACTCCTCCTATGACAGTCCTCCTAGGGCAGAGACAGCCCTCACTTGGCATTTACCCCCACACTTAGCACTTAGTAGGCCTGTCACAAATGACACTCAAATTGTGGAAGGTGTCTGGTGTCCAGCCTTCTACTCCTGGGTACCGCCCCCTAACCTCTGACCCTGAAGAGCCTCAGAAGCTAAGCCCCATGTGGGGAAGGGACAGAGTGTTGATTAACCAGGCATATGCCCTGGGGTCCTCAGACAGGGTGAAAAGATAGGGGGAGAGGTGGAAGTGGGCAGGGTGCTACAAAATCAGCCCCTGCCTACAGTCCCCAGGGCTAGCCCCTACCCTAGAAGCTTCCAGACTGGCCTGGACAGTGAATCCCAAGCAGGCACAGAGCCAAGTTGTCAAAGCCTGGCAAGGCTTGGTCTTTCCTTTGAAGGGGGGAAGGGAAGAGGCCCCACCTCAGACCCAGGACAAAGAGTCCCCCCACCAGCCCATCACGGGAGGTCCTGCCCCAGCAGCCGGGCAGCTCCCCAACTTGGCTCCCATCCCTAGTTCCTCCACCACAGAACCTGGCTGGCTCCCCAATTTAAGAAGCAGCTCACCATGAATGAAGGCAGCTCATTAGCGTTCCCAGCACATTTACTCGTTAAACAACCGCCTGGCCAGCCACACACCCCAAGCCCCCCCCCCTTTGCTTTTTCAATTTCCTCTCCCATGCCCCTCCCTCTGTTGGAGCCCCCTACCCCCTCCCTGCAGCCAGGCCACCTGCTCCCTCCACACGGGTGGGGAGGGGCAGGCGTGGCACATTGCTTCTGCCAGGAATGCTCCACCAAGGCCTGCTCTGCTGCTAGCCACCATAGATAGGGTAACCCCAGGGAGAAACTCTGAGTCCCCTCAGCTGTGGGTGCTCACATGCTAGTGTCGAAGCTGAGGGCACCTCCTGCCTGTGACCTGGAGAGAAAACCCCTCCTTCCAGCTGTCTGCAGGTCTCCTCCCCCACCTCCACCAGCCCTTCCTGGGGCCACAAGAAGGTGGAGAACCTGCAGATGACTAGGGAGCATTTCCAAACCACCAAAGGCAGAAATAAGACAGACTATCTGCTATTCAGACATTTGTTAAACACCATTGAGTATCTACTATGTATCAGGCATTGTACGGGGCTCGGTAATTCAACAGGGAATAAGACACAGGAAATGGCGCTCCACGAGCTCACAGTCCAGTGGGAGGACAGAAAGAGGAAATAGGCAAATGCATTCAACATGCAAAATGTGGTAACAGGTAATATGGAGGGAAGAGCCAGAACCCAGAGTGTAAGGCATAGGGTAAGGCTGGAAGGCTTCCGGGAAAAGGGGGCACTTGAACTGAGTCTTGAAGGATAAATTGGTTTCAGCTAGGCAGAAAAACAGGAAGAAAGACTTTCCCAGCAAAGGGAACTGCGTGAACATAGGCACAGAGACATGGAACAGACATGGCTGAGCTGTGGCAAGTTGGGCAAGGCTGGAGTATGATAGCGGGCACAGAAAGTACAGGCCGTTGAGGCCCTGGTGCGGCCTTCCTCTGGCTTTACTGGGCTTTCAGAATCACCTGATCTGTCCTTGAGCTCAATCAAGATACTGCTTGGAAATGCACTGTCTCTATAACCAGTGACAAGGGTTGCTTCTGGGAAGGGGATTTGGGTGGTGGCAGGGGGGACAGTTTTAGTGTGTGCTTTTTTCTATTGTTTGACTATTTTACCTTATGTAATATGACCTAGGGAGCTCTAGTAGCGTAGTACCTAAGGCATCTGCCTCTTAACCAGAAGGCTAGCGGTTCAAACCCAGCAGCCTCTCTTTGGAAGGAAGGTTGGGCAATCTACTTCCGTAGTGATACTGCCTCAGAAACCCAAGGACAGGTTGCTATGAGTTAGATCCGACTCCACAGCAGTGAGTTTGGTTTGGGTTTTTTTTTTTTTT